TTTGGCTCTAGTGTTCATGCAGGCTGGCAGCTCTGTCCCTCATACAGCCCGTCCCTCCATCCAGAGGAGATGCAACTGCAGAGGATCAAGGTCATGGGAGGGAACCGCAGGCTTTGTTCCCTACTTCTACACAGCATTATGCAGATCATTTTTCCTCACAGGGAAAGCAAATGTCACTCACTCATGAGTGGGATAATTTTCCCTCCTAACAATCGATGCTGCTAGCTCACAAGGATCTAGCGCCCTCACCGACATTTGGACATAGACCAACAGAAATTTATGGGGGAACAAAAAACTAGACAGATTTTTTTTTAAATGAAGAAAACTACTGAAGGTTCATTAGATTAATCTCCAAGTCTGTAAACTAAAGTGGCATCACGGTGCTAGACATAACACCCAGGTCTCCTGACCCCACAGCCTGAGTCACCTGCTGCCGGAGTTGTAGGTTACAAAGAGGAGCTCACAGTGACTCATTTCAGTTTACAGATGCTTCTACCCATCCCATCACAGGTCACTTGAATGCAGTGTTAAAGCACCCTGGATGTGATATTCTACCTGTGAAATATCTTTGCACTACTTTCTATTGCAACCTATTTAAATATGTCACTGAGTCTAAAAATAGACCTACTTCCTTAAGTCCTGCCTTTGCTTCCATGTAACCTACAGAGGAAAATAGTACCAGAGGCCAAGCTCCTTTTCTAACGCCTCCTGCAAGCATGAGCTAAGAACAGAGAGTGAGGCCCCAGACTATAATTACCTCCTCTTATACAACCTGAAAGCAGGTCTCAGGAGGTGTCTTAAAAAACCTAGTTTCCCTCACTCATTATGCTGTACCTATGCTTTATAGTTGGCCATTCACTCAATAAATATTTACTAGGTCTTAACTATTCTTGTTGCAGTAGGGGATATACAGTATTAAAAGTTTGCCACATCCCTGCTTTCCCAGAGCTTCCAGGGTAATTAGTGACAGGATGATACAGTCTGAGTTTCTGGAAGAGTCCTGATTACAAATGTTTCGCAAACTATAATATATTATCACAGAATTTTCTATTTTTCTTTATTAAAAAGCAAGAAAAAAAGAAGAAAGTGTTGATTATATAGCATAGTAAGTGAGCACACTCTAATATTAAAAAAAAAAAAACCAGAAATCCAAAACTTTTGAGTGCTATTAAACATCAAAACATAAAAGACGGGATCTGACACATGCAAAACCTTCCTAAGGAGACAGAATGGTTCCTAAAGCAGAATAAATAGCCAAAATGATAGTCTCAATACATGTGAAAAACAAAGGGGTCAAAAGAGAAAGTGATCAGAGAAAGAGGCACAGGAAATGGGAAGTCAAAGAAGAAATAATGTTAGTGCTTATTAAAAATTATCCAGTTAAAGAGATACAAATCCTGGAGAAGACAAGCCATTCCAGTGTGTGTGTGTGTGTGTTTCTGCTGGCAAAACTGGAATGCTCCATCAGACCTGGCTGAAATATCCCTCAAGTCTTTTCATGGGCTCCTGAAGCAACATGTGCATTGCAATCTGCTTCCCCATGTAAATTGTCTCTAAGGCAATAATGTGTTGTCCAGCAAACACAAACCATCATAGTGCCATCTAGCACTAGCCAATTGGCCACAACAAGCTCATTTCAATCTTGAAATTTTTCAAGCTCACAACCTAACAAAATACAATTTAATTGTATAAGTGTATTTAAAAAGTTATATAAAGAGGGCGCCTGGGTGGCTCAGTTGGTTAAGCGACTGCCTTCGGCTCAGGTCATGATCCTGGAGTCCCGGGATCGAGTCCCGCATCGGGCTCCCTGCTCGGCAGGGTGTCTGCTTCGTCCTCTGACCCTATCCCCTCTCATGTGTTCTCTCTCTCTCATTCTCTCTCTCTCCAATAAATAAATAAATAAATAAATAAAAATCTTAAAAAGTTATATAAAGAAACTCACAAATTGAAAAAAAAAGATCTGGCCAAGTATGTCAATATTTGGAAAAAGTGGTCACCAGCCGTATAAAGGACATAAATAATATCCACTCCAAAGCACTTGGAGAAGAGTAATATATAAGTGATGAATACTTAATGCCACAGGAAATATGAAGAGAAAGAAATTATATCTTACTGAGGAAATCCAGAAAAACATCACAGAGGAGGTGGTTATCAACTGAGCCTTGAAGGATGGATGGGATAATGATGAGCAAAAATTGAGAGGAGCTAAGGTGATTACTCCCAAAAAATAAAACATAGAGGTTGGAAAAATGTGTTCAGTATGCCGGAAATGGAAAGTAGATCAAAGGGGTTTGATATGAACTTAAAATAAGACTAAGTTCAAATGGCAAAAGACCATGAGACTCCAGACTGGGGAGTCTAAACATTACATGAGAACAATGTAAAACCAACTAAGCTTTCCTATGAAGGAGGGGACATAACGGATGATATTGTAGGAATTAGGCAAGGCTAAAAAATGAGCCAGAGCTGCAAACTGCAAAGCACTCTTTTAGCTACCAATAATTTACACTGTAGTGTGAAAATATTGTATTGATAATTTTATAAGAAACTCAGATACCTCCATGAAAGGAAGCTAAAATGAAAGGTGGAAGTCAGAGAGCTTTGGAGGACTGGATCCTAGATCACAATGTATTATTATGATGTGGGGAAGAGCATGAATCCTGGGCTATTTCACATTTTGACTGAAACTTGCAAGTCCTCACCTGCAGGGTCCAGGAGACAGTTTTGCAAGAAGATCCTTGCCAGGAAGATATTAAAGACTAGAATACATTTATTTTGGAAGTGTTCCACAGTTGAGTATTACTGAGATGTATCTATATGCAAAATCTTTCATGTGGAGTCATAGAAACTCTGGAGCTCTGAAAAACTGTGTTTGGGGAGAGGGCAGAAAGGCAAGAAAACTTTCCTTCTTCTTTTTTTTTTTTTAAGATTTTATTTATTTATTTATTTGAGAGAGAGAGAGTGAGAGACAGAGAGCATGAGAGGGAGGAGGGTCAGAGGGAGAAGCAGACTCCCCGCCGAGCAGGGAGCCCGATGCGGGACTCGATCCCGGGACTCCAGGATCATGACCTGAGCCGAAGGCAGTCGCTTAACCAACTGAGCCACCCAGGCGCCCAAAAACTTTCCTTCTTTGAGTCCAATAATTTTTTAAGGTGGATAGAACTGGGGGAAGAGAGTTTATTGTATTGGTCACTGCTTCTCAAAAACCAGATGTTTAAGAACTGGAGAACGGACCTGAATGCAAGTCAGGAGGTTCAGCAAAAAGGAAACATATTTGAAGTTGAGAATTCCATTTCACAAAATCATCATATGTGAAGGTTTGGGCTTTGTAATGTTAACTTGCACACAATATTGGCTATGGAGTGAAAAAAACAAAACAAAACAAAACAGTGACTGTTGCTGGGAAGGCTGTTTAAATCTTTATTACTTGAAGTGTCATGGTGTGGCATAAACGAGGGACCCATTTCCAGTTAAGACTTTAAGCAGAAAATAGCATTAACATCAAAGGTGGAGAAAGGCCTCTTCAATCTACACAGTGTGTAGACAACCTTCCCCTTCAAGGAGGAAGGGCAGACATGAGGAAGAAGACAGAACATTAATACTCAGGAGTAGAAAAGAACTTGTAGCATCATGAAGTCATTCTCACAGTTAGAAAGCAAAGATTGCGAACTCTTGGTCATATGTTATTAATAAGAAGAATCACAACTAAAGATCTCAGCTAAGATCAGGCCAGGAGCAGAACGGAGCACAGAGAATGGTGGATGAGCCATACCACCCTCTAAGCAATTCCTTGGCTGTCTTGGTTAAAGGTTTAACTAGTTCCCTTAAGAGAAAGAACTGAGTATTTTTATCAAAATCTACTGTGTGCCCTACTAATTATAACTATATTCACTTCAATAAGTGTAGATCATTTAATTAAAGGGTAAATATATGCTACCTTAAATCAGGCTCCATTGGATTTCATTTTCCCAGCCCTGGATAATATTTTAGACAGATTCTGTAGGTTTTATAGTTATAAGAACCACGTCACTTTGATAATTCATACCCATTTTCTGGTAGTAAGGTATTAAAATACCCAGTCCAGTCTAAGTTAAAATGGCAATCTCACAACCTATTCAAAGATCCTCCCCTCTCCTCACTCATGCCAACAATTGAGGCCTGGAGACCTAAGTGGGGAAGGAAATGGAAGCGTATCTTTGACCACTTCTCCTGACCTATGCCTCCTTTTCTACTCACTATGTAGCTTCTGGTTCTTGCCTAGAATCATAGAACGAGTATTAGAAAGGCAAAGAGTTAAGTATCTTTACTCACACTCAGTGGCTACCATGTCTTGTTGTGGCCATCCATGGCCATTGCATGGGAAAATTTGTGAGTTCTTCAAAAACCATCCCTTTTGCCCTGACGGAACCCTCACACTATGGTTTCTTGACTTGGTTAATGCATTTTCCTGAGGGCCTTTTGCAATACCCAAAGGACAGCCCAGGAGTTCACACCACAGGCAGCCTCTGTATCTATACAATCCTCACCCCAGCTGGCAACCTTCTTGGGTGAAGAATCTTCAAAACCAGTCTCTGTTACTTTCCACAGCATCAATTTGGCCCAGGAGGAATATATGAATCCTTGCCTTGATAAACTATGGAAACGTAACTTGTTTTATCAAGACATATTCCTATTTGTGGGCAGTACATCTTGTACACTCTTAGCAGAAAATTGTCTAGGACAGAGAATGAAAACTGACTAGAAAGAAAGTCAGCGAGAAGAGAGTTAATATTTATGGAGGACCTCCTATATATAAATAAGTTGAACTAAAAGAGGTGAAATGATTTGTTATGGAGAGTAATCATTGTTTTATTCTCCCAGTTGCTCTGCTTTTATGGGAAATTTTCTACCACCTCCCCAACATTTTCTGTGAACTGTACCCTGACATAAACATACACATATGTTGTCACCCACATGGCTGAGAAAATGAAGGCTTTGGTCACTCTTGGCCTTGGCCTTACCTGTCATGTCTACTATAGGAGGAAGAAGACCGTATGCAGCCAGAAAGAAGAACGAAGCATATTTCCTGGAGTGCCACAGTTTCAGGTTCTATCTGAGCTTGAGACTCAATTTCATTCTTGCCTTTGGGTTCCATGGGTCACCCCCTGCTATCTTGTAGCTTGGGCTAGCTAAGCTGGAATATGTTGTCTTCAACCAAATTGCCCTTAACTAATACCCCCTCTCAAGATCTAAAGGCTGCAAAGGTAACAAAGATCCAAACCCAGGCCTGCATGATTCCAACATTTGGTCCACGACCCACACTGCCAAGAGATAATACTATGATGTGCTGATAAGAACAAGTGCAGGTCTGGGATGCATAGAACGCTAGCAGTCAGAATATACTCAGAACTCATCAAATTCATATCTTCTGAATGTTTCAGCTCGGCAGCTAAAGAATGGTCAGAATAAATTGAAGAATGTTCACTAGAGAGCCATAAAAGAAGATTAAAGAGTTGGAAATGAGAAAAAGCACATAGTAGGTATTGCCTCTACAATTCAATTGACACTTCATATCCTCCATCCAAACATCTTTCTCATTACGGTCTTATACTGTTTTTTAATATTTTCTGTCTTTGTTTCATCTCCCCCCAAAAGCTTCTGAGCTTCTCGACATCATGTTTTTTGTTGTATTCAATAATCAATAAATATTGTGTTAAATGAGCTAAAATTGAAGGTACACAGCCTATTCATACACGGGGGACTAGGAGAACAATTTAATAATTTGTTATGAATGTCTGCATTGATGGGAACTGACTTCTCTCCATACCATAACCAGAAGAAGAGGAGGAATTCTCACATACTAACATGAGATAATTAGTTAGCATTAGGGATAAATTTCCCCAAATTGGAACAATCTTTGTGGAATATGTCACAGGAGGAAAAGCCTTAGAGATTCAGCTTCTTCACAGGGGTATGTGTCATTGTCTAGGGCAATTTTGGTTTTGTTCCTTTTAATTTCTCACTTAATAAAGGTTATGGACTTCATGACTCTTCTTTAAGTCTCTCCAAGACCTATAAAGACATCACACAAGAGTGGAGTTTCATTTTTTTTCCCCATTAGAACATACCATATGGATAAACCTCATAATTATGAATATTGGCATATGAAACTCAGATACTAAAAGTTTATATCTTTAGTAAAGACCAGGCCCATGAGAACTACTCCAAAGAAGAAAGATGTTTTGAAGATGTTCTCAATTACCTGCTTACGTCATCTAAAAGTTTTTTTTAAAAGATTTTATTTATTTGACAGAAAGAGACACAGTGAGAGAGAGAACACAAGCAGGTGGAGTGGAAGAGGGAGAAGCAGGCTTCCCACAGAGCAGGGAGCCTGACATGGGGGTCGATCCCAGGACCCTGGGATCATGACCTGAGCCAAAGGCAGACGCTTAATGACTGAGCCTCCCAGGCACCCCTAAAAGTTTTGATAACTAGAAGGAATCCTCAAATAATTAAGTCAAAGCATACTATAAACATGGTACAGAGGTTTTGCTTCCAGCTACAATGAAATAAGTAGGAATGAATTAACCCTCTTACCTTAAGCAACTAAAAAGCCAGACAAAACATATGAAACATCTCCTTTCAGACATTGCTACACAGACAGCTCAAGACAGTGATCCTGGAAAGAAAGGGAGCAAATGAGATGAGCCCTGACATGGACTGATCACTTTGCCTAAGGAGTTTCTAGGCTGCAACATAGAGAGGGGGGACCCAAACAGAGGCTTATGGTCTCACTGAGCTGAGGGGACATAGTTCTGTTTTCAGGGAGCCCAAAGCAGCTAGAATGTGTGAGGTGAAATACCAGAAATAAAAGAGTAGGCAGAATAATTTCTGGAGCTCACAAGAGACAGGAACAGTTGAGGTTTTCCACTAGTCAGGGAGGAGAAACCTCCTAGTTCATGGAGCATTGGTTAGAGCCCTAGACCAAGTTAAATCTACTAAAGCTAGTCGGAGCTCACCATAACAGAGCTGAAGATCAAGTCTCAAAAGTATCTAGCTAATTTGAAGTAACTTAACTGCATCCCAGAATATAATCCAACAATATTTAAAGGAATACCAAAGAATCCAGGACCCAAAAATCTAAAATTCAACATCCCCAACAGCAAATAAAATAATCACCAGGCAGACAAAGAAGTTGGGAAATGAATACCTCCCAACAACGAGAGCAATGAAAAGAATCAATAGACACAGAAATGCCAGAAATGTCATAGATGATAGAATTAGCACACATTAATAGTAAATCAGCAAATAAATACACTCCATGTGCTTAAGAACATGATGTGAAAAAATAAAAAAATATTGTGAAAATACAAATCAAACTCTAGAGATGAAAAATAGGATATCTGAAATGATAAATACACTGGATGCAATCAACAGTGGATTTGACATTGATGAAGGTAAGAGCATCAAATTTGAAGACAGAGATTTTACCCAAAATGAAAGAAGTAAAATAGAAGATTAAAAAAAAAAAAATGGAAGAGCATCTCTGACCTGTGGGATGAAATTAAATTATCTAACATACATGTAATTGAAGTTCCAGAAGGGGAAATCAGAAAAAAGTGAGGAAATAATGGCCAAAAATGTTTTAAAAATTTGATAGCAACTGGGGCACCTGGGTGGCTCAGTTAGTTGGGTGTCTGACTCTTGATTTCAGCTCGAGTTGTGATCTCACAGCCATGGGATTGAGCACAGCATCGGACTCTCCCTGGGCAGAGAGCCTGCTTGGGATTCTCTCTCCCCTCTCCCTCTGCCCCTTCCCCAACTCACACTGGGGGCACTCTCTCTCTCTCTCTCTCTCTTAAAAAAAAAAAATTTTTTTTTGATTGCAACTATACACCAAAAGTCCAAAATTCTCAGCAAACTCCAAACAGAAAAAGAGATGAATAAAATTATACCAAGGCACAGCATAAATAAATTGCCAGAATGAACAGTAATAATGGGAATACCATAGAAACAGCCAGACAAAAGTGACACAAGATAAGAATGATTACAGATGTCTCATCAGAAACTATGAAAGAGAGAAACTTTTAAAGCACTGAAAGGGAAAACAAACAAACAAAAGAAAAAGGGAAAAAATTATCAGTCTATAATTCCATTCCCACCAAAAAATATCTTTCAAAAATTAAGGTAAAGCCTCTTTCAGACATACGAATCTTGAGAGAAGTCATTGCCCACAGACCTGTCCTACAAGACATACTAAAGGAAGTTTTCAGGCAGAAGAAGAATGATCCCAGAAGAAAAAAAAAAATGCATCTGAAATATGGAAGAAAAACACTGGAAATAGTAAATATATGGGTAAATACAAAAGACTTTTTTTCTTATTTTTCCAAATTTCTTTGTAAAGATAATTGAATGTTTAAAGCAAAAATAAGAATGATAGATTGTGGAGTTTCTAATATATATGGAAATAAAATGTACAAAAAACAATAACATAAGATACAGGAGGGGGACGTGAAATTATACTACAGTTAAGTTTCTTAAAGTATCTGTAAAGTGACATACCATTATTTGAAAGTGCAATGTGATAAGCTAAAGATGCATATTGTAAACCTACTAAAATAGAGTAACAAAAAAAGATACAGCTAATACACCAATAGTGGAGATAGAATGGTTTAAAAAAATACTTAATCCAGAAAAAGGTAAGAAAAGAGAATAAAGAACAAAGAAAAGATGGGACAAAAGAAAGAAAGTAGCATAAACATTCTGAACATCATTAGTCATTAGGGAAATGCACATGAAAGTCATAGGGATGTACTACAACACACTTTCTCAAAAGGCTAAAATTAAAAAGATTTACTTGCAACATCCACTTTTCGTGAGGATGCGGATCACTAGAACTCTCATACATCGCTGGTGAAAATACAAATTCTATAGCCACTTTGGAAAAGAATTGAGCAGTTCATTTATTTACTTATTGATTTGAGAGAGAGAGCACGCGTGTGCATGCGTGCACACATGAGCGGGGGAGGGCAAGGAAGGGGGGAGGAGCAGAGGGAGAGGGGGAGGGGTGGAGGGAGAAGCAGACTCCCTATGAGCAGGGAGCCTGATGTGGGGCTCCATAGGGGGCTCAGTCCCAGGACGCTGAGATCATGACCTGAGCTGAATGAAGGCAGAGGCTTAACCAACTGAGACACCCAGGCGCCCCAAGAATTGGGCAGATTCTTATGAAGGTAATCAATCACTTGCCATACAACCCGGCAATTTCAATCCATATATTCACACAAGACTTATATTCAAATGTTCACAGCAGCTTTGTGCATAATGACCCCAAATTGGAAACAATTAAAATGTTCAACAACAGGTGAATGGATAAACAAACTGTGATACACCCATACAATGGAACGCTACTCAACAACAAAAAGAAACAAACTATTGGTATATCTAATAATGTGGGTAAATCTCAAAAGCATTATGTTAAACGGAAGAAGCCAGGCACAAAACAGTACCTACTGCATGTTTCCATTTACATGAAATTCTAGAAAATGCATTGTAATCCATGACAAAAAAGCAGCATAGCAACTGCTTGGCTCTAGTCACGGAGTGTAGGGGCGGTTGCGGGGTGGAATGTATGGATTTATGCCAGAGGGAACTAAGGAACATTCGGGAGGAGCAGAAGTCTTGATTGTGTTGGTCATTACAGCACTATGTATATATTTGTCAAAGCTTGTTAAATTGTACCTTTTTAATGTGTACAGTTTATTGTGCATACATTGTATCTCAACAAGGCTGGTTTTTAAAATGGAATTAAAGAAGTGGAAATAAGAGTGTCGATAATTTATCATTCCTTTATCATCCCTTGGTCATCACTGATGGGCATTTCAAACCCAAGAAGTGCTGTCCATTGCAGAGAAATCCTGAAATCACAGGCCCAGTGAGAAACAAATGCATCAATGTTCCTAATTTTTAAAGGCCCTCTGTACCTCGGAAAGCAATGTTTTGATTCTGGTTTTGTTCCAATAACCGTTCAGTACTGACCCGAATATATTAATCTATACACTCTTTGAGAAGGATGAGTCTGCCACATCGCATTCTTCTCAGAGCACATGAAAAGAATCAAACGCATTGTTTATTGAAATGACCAAATAAATAAGTGAA